GGGCACCAGGAGGTGGTTCTCCTCACTGTCTACTCCAGTCCAAGTCTACAGTACCGGGTCCCACTTTGATCTGGGGCTTCCAGGTCTGGTTCCAAAAAGTCATCTCCACCAGCTAAGTCCTTATGCTAAGTCCTTGCTCAGCAAAATCAGCTCCAGCAGTTCTATGACAGACTTATCAGGAGCCACAACGTCAATTTCACCAGCTCAGCTGCTAATAGGTCCAGTCCCACAAAATCAATTTCAAACAGGGTCTATAACGGTGGTGGGTAACCTGCGGCCCATCAGAGTAATTCACTGGTGGGCTGCCATACAGTTTGTTTACATTTGCACAGCCGCCTGCAGCTCCTCGTGGCCATGGTTCGCCATTCCCGGCCAATGCAGCTGCGGGAAGCGGCGTGGGCTGCAGGGACATACTGGTCACAGGTTGCCCACCACTGGTCTAGAATCTCTGGGCAGGTCAACCCAAGTAAGGCCCTACTCCTTTTGCTGAATTTGAGCTCACATCCCAATTAGAGTCCATTACCGGTCAGTTCAGGGTGACCTACTTTCTCCAGGCTATAACCTATCAAATTTCTCCCCTCTTTCATAAATAGGTTTATGTGCACCATTTAATATCACTTCCAAAAAACAGAACACAAACTCCAGGTAACAAAACTCTGTGCAGAGTTGCACTGGGGAGAAATTCTTATATGTCCATTAAACCTGCCATAGCCAGCATTTCTCCTTTCTTCTATGGGGGAGCAGAGAGATTTATTGAGACTTCTAGCTCTGGAGTTTACATCAAGAAAGATCCTTGTTCAGTATCAGAAGAGACATTTTCTGTGATTCTTTACTATTCACATGACGCCCATCACCACAGTATGGGCGGATATGCACGCGCGCACACACACACACACACACGGGTCTAGCAGGGCTATCCATTCACTGCCCAACTCTTGGTTTAATCCTGGACTCTTGTGCAGTGGCTGGCCATAATTCAAATACTGAAAACAAGGAGTGAATGAGAAGGACAATGCACTGAAATACAACAAACTATTCCAGCTGACAGTCTGCTGGAGAAGTCCCTTTGACTCTTTCAAGGGGTTCACGCACAAAGAAGTGTTTTTAAATTGAACACATTTCTAAACACATCACAATATTAACATAGGCATTTACATGTTTAGGGCATTTCTGTTACCCATAAACTCTCTTACTTTACTGTACTGAAGCTTTACCTAATTTAATTAGCAGCGTATTAATTGCATCACTTTATAATGGTAATATTCATTTTCACTTTGTCTATCATATAGGAACCTTGGTCTGTTTGCAAAACATTTCAGGCTATAAAATGATGAACAAATGCAATAATTTGGATATGATGTTATCAGCCTTCCGCCTCTCTAAATCAAATTGTGATACAATATACAAAACTAGTTCTATGTTTCCAAAAAATCACAGATGATTAAACTGCCCCACTGTATTTAACTTTAGGTTTTACCAGCAAAACTTACAGCTAACAGGCTACCATACGGAACAGAGAGACAGAAATGCAAGGGATCTTATTTGGCTTAGATTCTCAGTGCAGTGCCCAGCCTGAATAGCTGGTTTGGCCATGCCTGTGGATGGGAGGGCAGGCTGCAGAACTAGTCTGCATATCCGAGAGGAAGATCAGCTGATCCTCTTGACACTTCCCTGCACATTAACTTCTGCTGCTGTCTGTGACATACAGGATGTATTCATCTTTGAAATGTCTGAAATTCTGCCCTGTTGTCTTACTGGGTGGTTCCACTGCTAGAAGTCACTCTGAAGAGACAGGAGGGGAAAGGAGATTGGGTTTATCTGTTTACTAGTAGTCTCTGTGGACATGATGGTTTTCTGCATTCTAACAAGCCAGTTTCCCATTGAGCTATACTGTGGGAGATGTGCTCGACTCATTCTGCATCTTTTCTTTGGAACAGGAATACTTTAGGATCTTAAATTGAATCTCATGCACATCCATAAATGTAAAGACATTTTAGATGCATGGAATTTGGGTGGAGTCTAAAGATTTGTTCAAAGATGCAGGGGAGGGATAGCTCAGTGGTTTGAGAATTAGCCTGCTGAACTCAGGGTTGTGAGTTCAGTCCTTGAGGGGGCCACTTAGGGATCTGGGGCAAAATCAGTACTTGGTCCTGCTAGTGAAGGCAGGGGGCTGGACTTGATGACCTTTCAAGGTCCCTTCCAGTTCTAGGAGATAGGATATCTCCATTAATTAATTTATTTATTTTATTTATAAAGTCTTCTGCTTTAGAAATCTGATAGGCTCTCCAGCTCCTGGGAGCAATGGTATAAAATTAAGAAAGATTAAATTTTTCGTAACAGTGGGATCTATTAGTAGCCTTGCACATGAATTAGTGCAAGCCCCATTGTGTCTGTCATTTAAAACTGGACTGTACAAATCTCCTGAGAGTATACTGCAGGAAACAATTCCACCCTGACTGAAGGATGGACAAGACCACCCAACATCTAACTATTCCATCTCAACTTTGCAAGATTCTGTGATTAATTAGGTGAACTACCAAATTACTTTTTCTGACATCAGAGCTTTCTCCCATTGATATGGTAGTAGTACCGCCTGTTACTCACTAAAACTATGAGTTCATGGGGCGAGGGAAGGCAGCTATTGATTGGAATTTTTCCCACCCCTTCCACCAGTGCCCAGATTGCCAGAAGCTTTACCACTTAGATGAGTTTTGTTTGTTTTTTTAAACTAAGACTTGGAAGTCACCAATCTGCACATCATCAGAATCCGTCAACCCTCTATTTTTTAAAAAAAAAGCATTTTTGCTATTCTAGCACAAAAAAAACCAACAAATCTGAAAAGCGGAGCACCTTTGTGAAATGCTGTACAAATCCCACAGTGTGACACATGTCTAGTGGTGATGTAGCAAGATGCTTCTTTGGTTTTTAAAAGGAACATTAAAAAACCCATCCGATCTATTCTTAATCATACATCTTTTCCCTTTGACTCATGAGAGAAAACTTGTCCCTTCCTGACAACTTAACCCCATTTGCCACTGCCCTTTTCTTTCTACAAATTGCCACACTACCATATTCCATTTCAAGACTCAGTTGAATACTAGGGTATAAGTTGCTAAGCAGACATATTTGTACCAATAACCCACTTTCAAGACAGACAATCCTGTTTTAGCAAAGAATTGCACTTCATCAGACAAGTAGGGATGAGTGCACATGGACCTAGTTTTTATGAAGTGGCATATCTGGATTAGTGACCAATAAATTGTCTTAATGCAATTTTTGATATGATGTAAGATGTTTTGCCAACTGTTCAAAGGATTATCTCAGTATTCAGAATGGCTCATATAGAGACCCTTCAAAGAATATAGATTAACTTCTTAGAACCAAACTTTAAATGAGATGAACTATTTCATAAAGAAGCTATAGCAACACTGACTTTCACACATAAGGCGGCTATATTGCATTTTCTGTTTGAGTCACAATGAGAGCAGCACTAGTTGGGGAAGTCATTTTAATTGGGGAAAAAACTGGGTCTCCCACTCTTTACCCACACTGTGTACCCATCTTTTTGGCTGTGCACCTGTTTTTCATCTGACAACAACATGCAGTAGTCTTGTTTCTTAACAGCTGGACTGCATCAAATGCAAGCTACTGCTCTGATGTAATGATAAAAGACTGGTATAACTGCGCCAGTTACAGTCCTAGATAATTCCACAAATTAAAGCTTCTCTAATGGTCAAACTGCCATTTTGCACATACATTTAGGTGTTAACTTTGACCAACAGAAAAGTTATTCATATTAAAATGGGACCAAAACCATCACTGGATTCTGACAGAGTTATTACTGTTCATTGAGGCGGCTCTGGAAAGAAAAGCCCTGAAAATCTGTTGCATTTTATTTTCAAGATCCAAAAGCAGAAATAAATCCTTAAATTGAACAATGCTGGGCATTCTGCAGTGAAGTAGCTTTAACAAAAAGGAACCACAATTTAAACAAATGGAATCACTAATACTTGTACTGTAAGCACCACATGCAGTTTAAAAATAAGTTTTTCTTTCTTTCTGCATATACACTAAAATATCTGGAAAGGAGAAGACAAACCGGCAGACAGGTGTAGTGTACTATATAAATATAGCAAATATACAAATTTGTCACTATTAATATACAGTCTAAACGCTGGAAGATAAACCATTGAAAAGAGAAAGAGTCTCCATGGATTTTGCAAATCTGATTCTACCTGTTAACTTTGACCAGTTCTCCTCAGGAAAGAGATGGGGGAAAAGGACTTAAATCAAATTCTATATCCTTGAGTGAATGCAGCCACATGACTAATTTACTGCCTCAGATTGTGCACTGGCAGTGCTCTGCTAATGGGAAACATGCTAGAAAAAGTTTTGTGGTACTTCATAAGAAAGAAAATATGAGTCTCAGTATCCTTGAAGCATCTCAGAAACAATAGAACAAATTAAAGCATTAATTTATTTCATAATTGAGATACAAATAGGAAACATTCTAAGTTTTTTGGAGTCAAATTTGCAACATTTAGCAGTTCAGTTTTTAAACTGCAAAGTTTCACAGATATCATAAGCAGCACGCAATGTGTCCTCAAAAGCTCCCAAATGTCTACTTTTATTTACTTTTAGGGTAACCAGATAGCAAGTGAGAAAAATCGGGACAGAGGATGGGGGGTTATAGGAGCCTATATAAGAAAAAGCCCCAAATATTGGGACTGTCCCTATAAAATCGGGACATCTGGTCACCCTATTTACTTTACATTTTATTTTAATTTAAACATATTTCCCTATCTTCAGCTTTTTATATACACATACACACACACCTCTTTTTTTCCCCCAAAGTGGGCTTTTTGTATGATGCATGCAATGTACTGTTCTCTACGCAATAACTTTAATCTCTGTCCTCATTCTGGTTACATGTGTCGGTTCAGTTTACAAAACCAGTAATATGGTAACACATAATAGCTATAAAATGCAAGTAGACTTACCAATGAAAAACAGAAAAGATTCATTTTGATATGATGCTCAACTCAGCACTCCAAAATTCTGTTTCAAGGAATTCCAGACGCACAATGCAGCTCCTTCTTGTCCTCCCAGCTGTTTGTACATTTCACCCTGGAGATTACAGCAAGATAAAATCCCCTGCAATAATCCACTGGATTCAGATCCCATTATCAAATGAGACAGGCTTGCCTGCACCAGCACACACTGTTTCCAAAATTAATGAACAATGTTTACCAACAAAACGAAAGCATGGCATGACTAATTATGATGGACTAGGAAAATACAGTCTTTTACAGGTTGTTGTTACCATCTAGTTTATCATCATAATGGACATTAAGCTTCTTCTGTCTAAAAGCAGTGGAATATATGAAGAACTCAAAGGCAAGCATGCTGGATTCACTTCATTTATTTGACAAGTATACAACAAGAGAGACAAGGTGGATGAGGTAATAGGTGAAGAAGAGCTCTGTATAAGCTCAAAAGCTCGTCTCTTTCACCTACAGAAGTTGGTCCAATAAAGGATATTACCTCACCCACTTTGTCTCTCTAATATCCTGGGACCAACATGGCTACAATAACACGGCAAACAAAGTACAGAGCAGGAATTTTTACAAACATGTTTATTTTGTATACAGAAAAATGGTAGAATAAAAGACATCTTAACTACTGTGAACTACAGCAGCATGACATTTTTCAGCCAAACCTTGTTTTGACCAAAAAATTCAGATTCATGTTGACAAACATTTCATGAATTAATGTTGAATTTCTCAAATTGTTTTGGACTAAATAAATAAATAAAATTGGGGGAGGGGGGAAATAGCCCCCAAGTTGAAAAGTTTTGTTCTGGCATTTTCTAAATGAAATGTTTTGATTCATAATGTCTTTTCATTCAGAATTTTACTTCAATTTTATGTAAGCAGAAAAAGGTTAAAAATATTCAAAATACAAAATTTTATCTCAGGTCAAACTAAGTGTTTTGTTCAACACAAAACAATGTTTTTTCCCTTTTGGTTCAGCCAGTGCATTGACATATCAGTGATTTACACACTGCAGTCCACATTTTTGAATGTAGGTGGCTGAAGTTGGATACTTAAATTCAGATTTAGGGACCTAAATATAAAAAGTGCCTAAATTTAGGAACCTACCTTTGTAATCTGGGCCTAGATTTATTCTCATTTTGAATTGAATCACTCAGAAGAAATTGATTTCTTACCTACATACAAAGGAGTAAGTTCCCAACAGCAATCTAACATGTCAACAATTTGATGATGCAGACTAAGACTGAAACAATTAATTTTGCCATTAGAAAATACTAGAAGTGAGGAAGTCAAAGAGGGCCGAGTCAAGGACTCTGGTTACGGATTGTGTGACTAGGGGGATACTGGTGCTGTCCACCATGACAGAGAATGGTGAGAAGGAGCGATCTTACAGGAGAGAAAGACAATGGCCCATATCATGAACTGGTGTAAATTAACACAGTGTCACTGACTCGAGAAGTTCAAGTTCTAATAGCACATATTGGTACTGACCTGACTTCCAGGAAAACAAGGAAGAAAGAAGGAAACTAGCTCAATGGCTCTCAAACTGTTTCCTATTATGAATCATTTAAGATTAGATTCTCTTGTGGACCTTGTTCCCTCCCAACCTATTAGCCCTCATTCCACATCTCCCCAATGACAACTATAGTGCTTGGTTATATGAACAAGTAATCTGACCATATCAAAGAGACAAGATGAAATTTACTTGAATTTGGTAGGGGTGGGGTGTGGGTGGAACTGGGAAAACTATATTTGTAAATGCCAGACTTCCCTCTCATTGCCCATAGCCCTGACCACCTATATCTGTCCAGGTCACTTCTTTGCAGTGTAATTCTGTTCCCTGTGGGTTTTCTATGCTGCAGAAGTTTGTGGATCAACACATTTCACAGTTGAATTTCTACCATAAACCCCCCAAAAAACAAAAAGACAGACCCAAAAAGGTCTTTTTGCTTCTTTGTGATGCATAAAGATAGCTGGGAAGGCTTCCCATCAACCACCCTAGGTTGGTTGGTTGGTTTTTCCTGCTTGGTTTTTTTTTTAAACATTAGAAACTGAGGAAAATTAACAGGTACATGTAAAGAGCTACACACTAGAAGCCACTTGCAGAGCACAACAAGACATGTACTACAAAAGTGAGGAACAATGCTGCATATTCTTGAGTGCTATCTACTGGCACTTAATCTACATATATACACATATACAGGCATAGGAGGCAGTACGCTCTAGCAGATAGAGCACTGGATTGCAACTCAAGAGATTTGCACTCAATTCCTGGCTCAGTCAGCGGTTTGCTGACACACCTCGGGCAAATACTTTAATTTCCGTGCCTCAGTTTCCTCATCTGTAAAGTGGTTATAATGAAACTCACTTTCTTTGCAAAGCACTTTGATGTATGGATCAAAAGCACTAGATAAGAACTAGATATTATCATCAGCTCTCTTTTTTAGTGCACTCTTGTAACATTGTCTAGACTGGGAAAATCTATGATGACTGGAGAACTAGTAGGATGACATCACAGATATCAAGGAAATGAAACCTGACAGAGGAGATGTGATTTTTATCCAGACTGTTTAAAACTCTTTTTTTGTTGGTGTTGTTTTGTTAATACATATTTATCTCAAACACTTGGGAGAAAAGCTCTCTAATGAGCATTTTACATCACAGCCACTTAGAGTAGGACCTCAGAAAACACATGCCTTCTGAGTTATTCAAGAAGTCCTCTAAGGAAAACAGCTTTAACAATCCCTATATTCCTAAGATAAAAAGCAAGAAGAATTTTTAAAAAATGTTTATTTTTTTAAAGCCCACATTTATAGATCATAAAGAAGCTAAAAAGGCAATAACCCACTTTCTTGCTACCCTGTACTAGTTACCTTCTTTAGCAGAATTCAATAGCTTTGTAGCACCCCAAAGAGGCATAGTGTACAAGGAAGCTTTTCTTGACCAAGTGATACGCCCACAACTGGAAACTCTTCAAGACAGAGGGCCAACTCTTGTTTCAGTTGTTTTTTCTCCACCATTGTGACAGAAGCACAAGTTGTGCTCCATAAGTCAAGGTCTGAGCAACAGTGAAACTAGGAAATTACCTAACTGGAGTCAATTGTGCAAAACAGGGGCGGACTCTTATCACATATAGAACTGGAAATTGAAACTGGGAAACATACATTAACCCAGTGAGGACTGGCTTTAAAATCACCATGACAAAGCTGGAACTAAAACAGAGATACTTTCTACATGATATTGTAAGAAAAATATTTCTTAAATCTCAGAAAGAGTAATAAAGAAAGAAAAAGAAAGAACTAAAAGTTGAGGAAGAAAAAATGGGGAGCACAAAGAAACAACCTCAATGTGAAAACTGCCCTAGATGTGGATAGTTGGTGAGCTTTATTGGTTTTGCCAACACATGTATACCGATCATAGCAAAAGTTGTTGAAACTTACTTAAAGGTGTCATTTATCAGTTCCTGCCCACACACAATTTCTTTAATATGTGATTTTTAGGGTAGTCCCTCTTGAAAAGTGTTGCATTTGCACTGAGCACATTTTCATGAAAGACTCATTTCGCACCCTTTCCAATGTAACCATTAACTCTGACTGTACCTATTCTATAAAGGATTTTAAACCACCCTCATCACCATAATATCCAAATGCCTTCCAGTAGTGCATTCAGTGATGTGACTAACACCTGGCATGTGGTTTGTCCATTCTCTCATCCTCTCTGAGAAAACTGTGTGTATTGGTGTATTGTGTTTTGATTTGGTGATGATTGTTCATATACAAGTTGCTATGTGTTTATATTAGGGAAGATAAAGTTGAAGTAGTGAACCATGCACTTGCAGTGGCAGGTGGTGGAGTGTGTGATAGTCCTACTTCCTAGGGGAATTTGTTCCACAGTCTCACATTGACCTCTGGAAAAAATAGGGTTACTCATCTTGTGCAGTAACTGAGGTTTTTTGAGATGGTTGTCCCTGTGGGTGCTCCACTTTAGGTGTCTTGGTGCCCTGAGCTTGTAATCGGAGATTTGCAGTAGCAGTGCTCCGGTTGGCCATGCATACACGGCAGCTATCTTGCACTGCTCCAAGTGGCAACTTAGCATGTGCAGCCAACCATACCATGGTTCCTTATCTACCCCAGAGAATCAGCATGAAACTCAAGAGTAGAGGGGAGGAGGGAGGGCAGTGAAGCACCCACAGGGACAACCATCTAGAAGAACCTCAGTTACTGCACAAGGAGAGTAACCTTCTCTTCTTCTTCGAGGAATGTCCCTGTAGGTGCTCCACTTTAGGTGACTATGGAGCAGTACCCCTCAATGGAAAGATGGGCTTCAGCATATCTTTGTTGATGGCGGATAGCACTGAGAGTCCGAACTGAGTGTCGGCAGAGGAATGTTGTTCCAGGGCATAGTGTTTGGTAAACGTGTCGACTGAGGCCCAGGTAGCTGCCCTGCAAATGTCTACGATGGGTACATTGTTGAGGAACGCTACTGACATGGATAGCACTCTGGTGGAGTGCATAGGAATCCCAGGTGGAGCAGAGATGTTGTTCTGATGATAGCACAGGTGGATACAGCCAGAAATCCACTTAGATAGTCTTTGTTTAGAGATGGCCTCACCCTTGGATTGCTCTGTGACTGAGAGAGACGTGACAATTTTCTAAATGTCTTTGTTCTTTCTAGGTAGAAAGCCAGAGCTTTACGGACATTGAGTGTGTGAAGGGATGCCTCCCTGGTGTCAACGTGGGGTTTATATGTAGGTTGGTTTCTGCTGGGGACCAACGGATGGTGTTGTTATCCAGATGGGCTCCCCATCCCACTAGGGAGGCATCTGTGGTAATTGTTATAGTGTGAGCTTTTTGTTAAAATGGGACCCCCGAGCAGATATTTTGGGGTTGCATCCGCCACTTGAGGAAATCCTTCACTGTGCAGGACATAGTGAGCTGTTTGTGGAGGGAATGCTTGTGTGGCATATAGCAGGTGTGGAGCCAGGCCTGTAGGCATCTCATATGCAGTAAAGCATGTTTGACTATATAAGTTGTAGCAGCCATGTACCCAAGGAGTTGTAGGCAGGCCCTGGCA